TGCAATCCTCTGGAGAGATGTCCTCTCCATCTACTTGGTATTCCATTCTCAGTTGCAGATACTGGAACGCGCAGAGCGTTGAGTCGCGTTGGCGCCGGGCCGGCGCATCGGCGACAATCGCCTCCTTGGTTAGGCCTAAATCCCCTGGTGGCGTTGCCGTGTAAAAATGTCCCAAAACACGGTTTAAAAGTCCACTCACCGGCACAAAGGTGGTATCTGCTGATTTCTTGAGAACTTAGGCACACGATGAGAGTAAAAACTCGGGGACAAATTCATGAATACCACAGGAAAGCATTCTTGAAAGCAGGAGCCGATCTGCGCGCGTCCGCACTGGTCGGCACCTAGAGCGTCCTCCCCTTTCGTTTAGTTCTTGCAGTGTTTACTAGATGGCGGTACCGTCCTCTGTATGTAGCATGTACACTATTGTTGCCACCACCGTGGCCTACGTGTAATGGAAATCAACGTGGGTCTTCTCAATGCACATGGCGCAAGAAAGCGGAGCAAGTGGGAAGAGCTATATGCGATGCTAGAGAGTGAAAGAATGGAACTCTATGCGCTAACAGAGATGCACTTTCGTGGGCTGGAGGAACCCCCTGTACATACGAACTGGGAATGGTCAGGCTCCAACCGCAAAGGGAATACACGCAAAGGCGGGGGAATAGGTATCCTGTGGCGTTCCGGAGCGATGTGCGACAAATTGACCTGCCCATGCACTGAACACATGTGGCTCCGTAGTAGCATCCTAGGGATTCCCGTGATAGTAGGTGTGGTCTACCTCGCAGTGAGCAATGGCCATCATGATGGAAATGGTCGAATTATGAAATGTATGTCAATGGATGTACTACGATAGGCAGCTGACAGAGAAGTTTTACTCATGGGCGGCTTCAATGGCCACCTGCAGGCACTGTACGGGTTCCAGGACTTTAATGGAGATCTGGTGGACCTGACAGCACGTGAACTAAACTTGGAAATAGCCAACCTTCGCACTGACTGCGAAGGTGAATTCACATGGTGTGCTAGGAACAGCCATTCATGCATCGACTATGTGCTTATGTCACCAAAGCTGTCCCGCCACGCTACATCAATCACAATAGACGAGGATGGGAAGTTCAGTGTGGGAAGTGATCATAACCGAATTAAATTGACCTTCTCGACTTCCTCCTGGCACCAAAAACGGACAGACTGACGTGAGTCGGCCACACGCTACCTACCGGAAGAGACATATCAAGACATCGCCCAAGAGTTTGAAGGCAGACTCATGAATCTGGAGTCACCTTCCTATGACCAATATGTGGAAGCTCTGCAACAGATAATGGAAGCACATGAAGTATGCGTTAACTTCCCTGGGTGGGGTGCGTCGGAAGCCATCGTGGGAAAAGGAGGTCAAAGTGGCACTAAGTGTTCGACGGGAAGCGAATCGCCTACACAGAAAAGTAGTAAGGACACTCCCTCCACACGAATGTGCAGAGCTATGGCAGAGGTACCTGGAGTGAAAAAAAGCTATGCAAGCACTAGTACAATGCAAGATTGCCGAGCACATTGGCAAGCAGCTGAAAGCCTTAACTGAAGACAGGCGAAACGGTGCCCGGCAGTTTTGGACATATGTGTCATTGCTTGACAGGAGGGCAGCCATGCCGCGGATTCGAAACGAGAAGACGGATTTGACCGTCTGTGATCTTTCGGAACATCTTACAGAACACATACATCGTCTGTACCAACCCGCGCAGTTAGCATGCGTGTCTGCAGAGGAGAATGAAGCAGAAATCCACTGCCCCGAAGATGAGACCATGAAATGGCAAGTGACACGAAGAGCGGTAGACAGGGCAATTGCACGCATCTATGCACGCAGGACGAAAGGACTCGATGGCATACCCGCCGGTGTTGTAAAACACCTGGGGGATGCTGCCCAAGATTACCTTGCCAACATCTTCTCTGGCATCGTGGCGGGTGACACAGTCCCTACAGCCTGGCGAACAGGAAGGGTGTGCCTGGTGAGAAAGAAAGGTGGAGACGCTGGGCTTCTACGAGATTACAGGCCTTTGACTGTAACAAGCGTCCTATACTGTGTCCTTGCACAGATATTGAAGGCCTGGATGACTGGGTGGGCAGAGAACAACAACGTGCTTACAGACTTGCAGAACGGGTTACGAGCTGACCGACGCCTAGAAGACAACCTCGTTGTGCTGATACAAACCATAGCAATGGCTCGCAAGGAGTCCAGAAATCTGTATGGTTGCTTTCTTGATGTAGCTAAGCTATATGACAGTGTCCCACATGAATCCCTATTCCAGCAGATGGCGGATGGCAGAATGTCAGAGGTGTGGGTCGGCCTAATGCGTCGATTCTACAAAGATAATTGAGTTATAGCGTGCTTTGACAGAGCCCAGTCCCAACCAGTAATGGTAACACGGGGACTTAAGCAGGGCTGCCCCCTCTTACCCCTGTTATACATGATTTATGTTTCTGGACTGGAACATATGCACCTAGCATCTGGTATCGGCTTCTCATTCAACCACCTGTACGATGGAAAGCCCGTGACTTGGAAGCTGCCGGGTTCAGTGTATGCTGACTACCTGTTCCTGCTAGCCGAAAGCCCAACGGACCTGAAACAACTGGTCACCCTCGCTGCGACCCATCTGTACCACCTGGACCTGGCCTTCAATTCAAAGAAGTCTGCTGCATTACAGTTGTCAGGCTCCCACCCTAATGCCGACATATACCTGCCAGGAGGAGATCAGATACAGTGGGCCACTGAATATCGGTACCTATTAAGCACCTGCGGTTACTTGTTGGGGGCACATGAAATAAATCTGCACAAGACTTCGCAGAAAGCAGCAAACGTGCTGCGCCGAAAAAGCCTATGGGGATGCAACCGTTTGTTCCTCATCCGAGACTTGTGGAAGGCTGTTCATGTCCCAAGCCTAAGATTTGCCAATGCCATACTGTGCCTCATCGTGACAACCAGGCAATGGCTGGAGCGTGGCCAGCGGGAGATGGGCCGTATGGCCCTTGGATGCCACGGGCGTGTCGCCATAGAGGCCATTCAGGGTGACTTGGGATGGTCCTCATTTTAGGCGCGCGAGGCAAGAAGTAAGGCTACTTACGAAGGACACCTGCGACTCATGGACAACGAACGGTGGCCTAAGTGACTGTTCAGATATGCGAGTCTAACTGGCATACAAACGCAGTGGTGCAGGCGCCTGGGCAGCCTGAAAAGAAAGTTCGGCTTCTCTGCAAACCCTGTGATTGAGGACAAGATGTACAAGTGGGCCCATGCAGTGAAGACGCAGGTGTGTGAGGAGGAGACAGAGCAGTGGCGTCTTGCCATGGAGGATAAATCCACACTTCTCACATACCGCACTCACAAGGCCGACATTGGCATGGAGCGCCTTTATGATAACAGCGGTGGCAGCGCACTGCTTTTTGAGGCACGTGCAAGAGCGCTGCTTACGTTGGCATACCGTCGCAGGTTCGACACATCTGCAGACGTGGCCCGGGCCGTATGCCGAATATTCGTCACTGAAGAGGAGACCACAGAACAGATCGTCCTCCGCTGCGCTGACTTGTGCCTGGGTCACCTAAAAGACACCACCTTCCCGCTGGCACTGGGATTCTGAGGAGATACGGAGAAGAGCACAGCGGTGGCCAGAGCGGTCTACGTGACAAAACAGAAATTAGTGCAGTGGTGGCGCAGAACGCGTAGACAGTGCCGACGCACAGACAATGTAGACGTTTAGACAATGTAGCCGGTCTTCAAAGAGACACTGGCTGGCTGTTGCAAACGTGATAACTCGTTTTGTGTGTGTTTATGGGTGCGTGTATGTGTGTGTGACACATTTTGTTTTTCTCTGTCTCTTTCTCATTTTTATAAGTCTCCCTTCTTTTCTTTCATTTTTTTTTTCTGGTTAAGGCAGTTGAGATCTGCCTACCCGTTACAAAGGGCAGAACCACGATCCATCATGTAGCCACCTCTCGTTTAATTCTTGCAGTGTTCTCTAGATGGCGGTACTTGTAACTGATGATGAAAAGATGATTGATTTGTGGGGTTTAACGTCCCAAAACCACGATATGATTATGAGAGACGCCGTAGTGGAGGGCTCCGGAAATTTTGACCACCTGGGGTTCTTTAACGTGCACCCAAATCTGAGCACACGGGCCTACAACATTTCCGCCTCCATCGGAAATGCAGCCGCCGCAGCCGGGATTCGAACCCGCGCCCTGCGGGTCAGCAGCCGAGTACCTTAGCCACTAGACCACCGCGGCGGGGCTGGTGAAAAGATGCAAGATGTTATAAACTAGATGGCGGTACTTGTAGTTGATGATGAAAGATGCGAGATGTTATAAAATAGGAATGATGTCACCTATGGCACGTGTCATTAGTAGAAGAAAAATCGTTCGATTTAGTGCGGCGACGTACGTTAGGGGGAGCGTAATAAAATCGATTGGGCAAAATGTACGGAGGATTCATGGTTTACCAGGTTTACCTCCAGAGCTTCGCCCACTCATCATCATTCACTTCGTGGATATGGCGGCACTTTTTTTCATGAATTAAAAATAAATGAACTAGCAGCATTTTATTACGTCTCTTGATGTATGGAAGGCTCTTTTATTTAGTGCAGCTGGTTCGATTATTAGCGAATTGATGTAATTGAGATCATTTCGCATATTTCCTATCGTAGCGCATGTGTTCTCAGGCATTTACCTTAATGTCTCGGTAAGGAGGGCACTGCTGTTGATAATATTGTCGTTTTAGACGTTTTCATACAGTGATATTTCACTTTGACATAAATTGTTATTTGACTTTAGTGTGAAGGGCACTGTGCACATAATGCGATTGGTAGCGCATATTGTACAGTACAGCATGTCCTCAGTTTCTTTCCAAGCTGACATGTTATGTAATACTATTCCAGTGTTGATTGCAAGTTTATTTTGCGAAGATCACTGCCAACTAAACTTTTATGTGTGGTTGATTTCTATTTTTCCTTCCCTCTCGCCTCTAGTCTCTACAGAACTTGGGAACATTACGTAGAATCTTGCTGACAGGGACACCTGTTCAGAATGACCTGCAAGAGTTTTTTGCCCTTGTTGATTTCTGCAATCCTGGAATATTGGGTGAGCTTATGGACTTTTACTTCTGTTCATTGTATAATTGTATGGCTACGCATTGAGTTAGCAGCAGCGATAACAAAAATTAAATTCAATTTGGGTTTGGTGAGTGTTTCTTTAAATGTAATTTAGTGTCTCGGTTTTTGTGTTTTGTGCATCATCATATGCAGATCTTAATCCTGCATGTTTCTTTTATCACTTGAAAGACAATGTGTGCGACTTCTTTAATCTTTCTAACATATAATTATTGTGTTTTGGAAGTATGTTTGTGCACCTTTAAAGCAAAATGAGCTATTTGCATCAGAGCACTGCACAAGCTGATTTTTCCGGCCCGAGCCCAGCCCGGCTCGAAAACTTCATGCTATGGCCCGCCCGAGTCCGGCTCGGCGTTTTTAAGTATGGTCCATACCCATCCCGGGCCTGAAAGGTTTGGGTCCGGCCCGACCCGGCCTGGCCCATTTCAGTCAATGTATTATGCCTAGAGCATATACGAGGCACTATCCGATATTGTTATTATTGTGACAATACTTGCAGCAAACAAGATATTTTCTAGACTGTCTTGACAACTTCTTTGAGCATCATGAATTTAACTGGTATATTCTGTGTACTTTCAGGTAGTAACGCCTGTAACACTTCCTAGAAATAATTGCAGGGTAATTGAAATATAATTGGGTTGTATCATGTATGCAGTGCCAACTACAAAATCTTGTTTTGTTTCATTTTAGAGAATGACTACAAAATATACTACACCTATAAATTGGAAAAAAAAAGCAGACCTTTATAGTTTTGAGTCCACATAATTTGCATGAAAGCCGGGTTTGTCGAGTGAATGGAACAAGTCTCCTGCAAACGTCACTTATGAATGACACCATGCAATCAAAAAAAACACGCTTTAGATAATTCTGAGAGGATTACCAGGGGCCGGAAGCTCGCTATACGTCCTGTGTATTCATTCTCTGCAGCGGTAGAGCCGCTTTTACCACTAGCGGTTGCAGGGTAGCTTACTAGAAATAAATGAACAGAAAACTTCTTTCATGACGTCACTGGTGAGGTCTCAAAATAAAAGGGAAAGGACAAAAAATTGAGAGAAGGAGGGTTGCCGCGGATGCACTATTTTTACACTTCGCATGCATGCGCAATGCGCTCGTGCTTTTTTTCAGGCCCGCTGACTGCTTGGCCAATGCGGCCATAAAATTTTGTTACTCTTTTTTTAAAAATTTTGTTCACGTTTTCTGAAGAGGTGAAAATTAAGCTGACTGATTTCTCAGCAAGACCAAACTTTTTCGCCACAAGTAAAATGATTGTTTTTTATTGCACATTTGTACAAAAAAAAAAACAGACACACTTAGTGTGAAAGTGTCGATCTATAAAAGCAGCTTTAATTTACAACTGACATACGAACATAACTAGCAAGTGTTAAACTCAGAATACCCAGACCAATAAGAAAACTACGTATCAACAAACGTGAGTACGACACGTCTTATTCGACTCAATTCACGTTTGTTATGATGGCGCGCATAGTTTCTTTGCAACTGTGCAGCTTTTGAAACTGTGCGACGCAAGCAGGCTGATCCTTTGCAGACACCAAGGAAAGATAAACTAAGCGTGTGCAACCTATATATGTACATTATTTCACAGGAGTAGGGGCTCATGTTTCCAGTTTTTATGTGTCTTACTTATCCGGTAATATCCAAAAAATGGCAGAAATTGGAGCAAGGAAGTCTGAAAGGATGCAAAATTCCTGAACAACGGGTGCCGCAGGAGCCGTCGCACATTGATCCGGTAAAAAGTGCCATTGCCCCCTGTTTCAAGGTGTAAAGCAGCAAATCAAAATCATATTCATGAACTTTCTTATATAGAACTCTTACTTTCCCTGCGGGAGGGCTTGCACGTTTTTGAGAGCCATGAGAGCACTTGCGCTTTGACATATCAGAACGCTTATGCATTAATGTTGAATTACGGAAAATACGTCTGTAAAAATAAGCAAGAACTTGTTCTATGTGATGGACATTCCAGTTAAATCCTTAACATTTTTGGGTAATTGCCAAGTGCTAAATATTTGCAACTACCTTGCTAGCACAAGAATTGGGAGAATTCCATTGATTGGCGTGCCCATCATAACAGTCACTTCTCATCTCGCAGTTAAAGTACAACAACAGCTAGCTCCTGAGTTCTTCATGACTCACGAGTCGCGTAGAACGCAGGCGGAGAAAGGCTTGGCAAGCATGCATGTGTACCTGCATACTCGAAATTTTTTCCTAGTTAGCAGCGCACACATAATATATACACTATTATAACATTAGCAGTGTACCGTTGCTGTTGCAGCAGTACCACCTAGCAAATCTTTCCTTACATTATGCAAATATTAGCGAAAACATATATTACGTGTTTCTTGAAAAACGTATAGCATACCGGCAGAGACAAATGCCAGATGTCATGTATTTTCCGATTTCAGTGCATGCTAATGCACTTCAGCTGGTCTAAATTAGCCAAAACCCTCAGCAATGGCAGGTTACGTAACCTGGGTCGTTTCGGTATGTCAAACCCCACAAAACAACAAAGCCAAGCAGTGTAGACACCCCATTATATTGATATACAGGGTTTTCAAGAAATAGGTCCAATATAATTTGAAAACTACATAAAGGAGGCATCTGCATTCTACCTGTGGTATTCTCTTTACTTTGGCAGAATGCGTCTTCAGATGTGTAAGAACAATAAATACGGCAGTAAATATAGAAATTAAAACAATTAACTTTTAACCAGTTGAGATCGATGGTCGAATCAAATGACTGAATTAAAGTTCTTCCTGCGAAGTCTACAGCCATTTTGAATTTGGAAAGGCGGCAAGTGGTAATCATCCCTAAGCGATGAAATCTGGCTAATTTAGCTGACGAAACCGAAACCGGCGCACCAAATAGCGCATATACCATTAACTTCGTAAACACTCTCAATTAAATGCAAATTGTTTATAATTTTGTGAAGAGTTAATTGTTTTAGTTTTTCTAATTAGGGTTGTAATTATTATTTGTACACATCTGAAGATGCCTTCTGCCAAAGTAAAGGGAACACCGCACGTAGATTGCAGATGCCTCTTTTTGTAGTTTTTCAACAATATTGAACCAATTTCTTGAAACACCCTGTATATGAGACCCAGGCCTAATACAGGCCTGACTTAAGCCCGAGCCTGACCTGAGCCCGAAACTCATGTGTCCGAGCCCGGCCCGGGTCCAATCCAACATTGCCTTACCCGACCTGGCCCGGGCTCGTGCAGTGCTCTAAGTTGCATGCCTATCGGTAACATATTTTGCTTCTGATATGCCTAACTGTTTCAGTGAGAGTTCAGTGGAAACTGGTGCATAGTTGGTAGTTCTGACACGAGTGTGAGTGTATGTCAAAAAATATGCTGCCTCAAGACTGCGCACTGTGATTCACAGCTCACAATGGCAATACCGTATACTATACACGATTGTTGGTCAAGCTATTTTATGTAGTTTGATGTTGGGAAGGTGGACATACACAATCAAAACCTCAATTTGTGTGGCCAGTGAATGTAAGACAGTCGAGAAACCAAGGAAGGTAAGCTGACCACCATTTGTTCGTAGCATGAAGCCCCAGGGAAATCCATACAGATTTTTCGAAAAGGAAGCTTCTTAAAATGCCAAAAAAGTTGTTTTGAATTTCCGAGAATTAGAAATAAATATATATGAATTTCCTGTGTATTCCAGGAAACTTGTATGGATTTTCTTGTAGCTTGTTGCTACAAACCAGTAGTTGTCGATTTTTCATTCTTAATCCTTCTACCACCTTGCGGAGTTCTGCAGAGCCGATCTGCAATAGAGCAACCAGAGAGACTGCGGTGCAGTTACAAAGTTAACTCATGAGCGGAAGCTGGGTACACGTTCTAGCAGATATGATAGCCACGATCTGTATTGGTGAAATGCCCATTGTTGCGCATCGCGTTGTCTATGTTCCTAGGCAAGTCATCAAGTTTTCGTCGCATATACGAGGAACCCATTCTGCGATCACAGCTTCCGGGGGCCACCGAGGAAGAGAAGGAGCTGGGCCCGGCACGGGCCAATGAGCTGATGCAGACCACGTCGCCGTTCATTCTTCGACGAACCCAGGATGTTATTCAAAGCTACCTTCCTGGAAAAGGTGAGATTGTCAAGGGAGGGTGGCTGCTCCTTGGACTTTGTGTAGTATTAGAGAGTGCGTCAGAATTAGCTTTCAATCTTTGTGTAGATTCAATCACAGAATATAAGTACACAGACAAGGCGCTTCAACAGGCAGAAAAACAAAAAGCAAAGGGAGTTTCCTCATCTACGAGGTACATTTTCAATGTCCTGCTTTGTTCATCTTACTGCCTTTTCAACTGGCAATATAGGTAATGGGACTGTATGCCATGGATCTAAAAAGGCTTTTACTCAATCACTCTTACCTTCTATGACTACATGAATCACCGCACTATTTGCATGGTTTGGTTGTCAGTGAACACGATCATAAAATAAAATTAAAACACTTTTTATTAAAACACATGAATTAACGCCTGGTCTTTCTAATGAAGTAACTTGTTTAAACAAATTTATTGTATTTTACTATTGCCAAGTTTTTTTATAAGATTTTTTGGTACGCTTCATCTGTATTTCACCCTTCATTTACATAGTTGGAGCTTGTTTATTTATTGTTGTAGAAATCAATGCAGTAAACTTTACCAAAGTACTGTATTTACATGACTGTAAGCCGACTCGAATGTAAGTTGACCCCATAAAATCGCTCGAAAAAGGCAGAGAGAGAGAGAAGGGGGGAAGCACAACCACATTTTATAAAAATTATTTATTTAGGAAGTTGAAGATGGCTTCACGTCATTGCCTAAAAGTTGTGCGGGATACCTAGCTTTGCGGGGATACGCAGGTATTATTTTAGAAAGACTTTACAACCAAAACAAGCTTTCGATTCTAGGTCGGCCCCCAACTTCGGATTTCAAATTAAGACGATCATTTAAGCATTGTGTATGTCAATTATACTATAATCAAACACTGTCCCTTTCTAATGTATTACTCGGCAAGGGGCTCTTTGCAAATGACGCTCATTGCTCTTTTAAGCTGAAAGTGTTTTATGTAGTAATGTGATTTGTTATAGTGATGTAATTATAGCAATTTAATGTTCGTTATTATGTTGCCTAGGAAACTGGCAGTGCTCGAGTGCTATGCACACCACTCTGCGCACTGCAGGCGTCACGATCCAAGTGTAATGCCGACAGCACGCGAGTGCTTTCGGTAGACCCCTAAAAGATACGATGGGCCCGTAGCTTCCTTAAATGTTGCGCCTTTCTTTTTTCTAGTGGAATGCGTTGTCTTCTGCCGCCCACAACCACTTCAGCTGGCTCTGTACCAAAACATGCTGGAAACAAGCATGGTGCGCGCTTGTCTGAGCAGTTATTTGTCGACTGACGCCAACTGCCACCTTGCTTGCATCCTGGCTCTTCGGAAGCTCTGCAACCATCCCTTACTCGTTGCATCCCAGGAGTTCGCCGATAAGGACGAGGATGTAGGCTTGGTAAAATTCTTTCGCATTGTGCAACTTCAACTCTCATACGCGACGCAATTGTGTGTATGGGAGTAAGCTGAGCGTTTACCAGTTCTGGCATTATATAGGGTCAGTGATTCTGTTGGAGACCTTAGATTAGCTCGTGGCATTGTTTGAATGCCAAGAAAAAGGTTTCTTGAATTCTAGTTATTGTAGCCTGTAATTTACTGTATTAATTACTTTTTTTTTTTTTGGAAGGACATCATACATCATATTTCTTTTAAATATGTGTTGTTCAATGAAGGATTCAAGAAAGGAAAAGTCTAAGACGTGAATAGAAGCAGCAAGATAACAGTGCTCGTGGAATTGCAAAATGTCCAAAGTATGTACATACTGTATACATTTGTGTAATGCTCACTGTCTGCTTTTCAATATTCGGAGTGAAAGTCACGGTTGTGCCCATCACATGGAGGAAAGGATAGCGCCGTAGAGGCAGCCGCTAAATCTCGTGGGCTGTTAATTTGCTGTTTGGAGGGGCCGCAGCACGGCTACTTTGTTTTGCCCCCCAAAATAAATCCCTTGGAAGTCACGCACTGCGCAGTGTATGATACTGCTAACCTAAAAATTTAAGGGTGCAGCTAACACATGAATAATTTTTAATATATTTATTGGGAGATTCCTTAACAAAGTTCTGGGTGCGGCTTTTACATGGGTGTGCCATTTCACGAGTATATATGGCTGTTCTGAGGCCTCGAATTAATTATGCGTATTCTATGCAATCAATTAGAAAATTTTATTGCCACAGGAGTATTGTCTGAATCTAGACACACCCTTGATTTTCGTGACATTCGCTGCTAGTTCCTAAAAACTGACTTGCAGTACATGGTGAAGACTTGGCTATCAGTGTTATTAATATGAAAACGAAAAACATAAGTAAAAGCGAGCCTTCTCGAAACTTGGTTATTATAACGCAGAATCAGAGGTGAGGTGTTATCACTACTTTGCAGAAATCATAAATATACAGCTAAAATATTTATATTACAGCTCTGAATAAATGCCAGTCTTTTATGGCTTTCGCTGTTAAGTTTGCTCCGATTTGGCAGGCCGCCCTACATGCCGAAGCTCGGAGAGGTCTCCAGTCCGAATTTGATCCTACAATGATGGAGCTCGAATCGGGCTCTGGAAAACTCGTGGTTTTGGCTGCCATGCTTCATTCTCTGTGGACCTCCCAGCCACGAGAGAGGATAGTCCTGGTCTCTAACTTCACAAAGGTGACTAAATGTTACTTCATTTATTGACTCACTGAGTAGAACTCACTGTCTTATACAATGAAGGCAAAAGTGATAGCATCGCGATAGTCGAGTGGCATGACTTTTTGTTTGTTGCAACAAAGCAGTGCCAAGAGACAATGAAGCTGGGAAAAGTGTGTGGAAAATGAAGTGTTTTAGGGAAGTGTTTAAATTAAAAAAAAAAGGGAAATGGGAGTGACTGAAAAACAGAATTTTGTTTCCTGTGGGCACCACACACTTAAGGGGGCAGACTGGTCTTAGACATTGTTTGTTTATTTCGTCAGTGATCTTGATCAAACTGCACAGGATTATGCAGTTTTGATTTCAAATGTTTAATTAGTTTTCCTGTAACTTATCTTGTTCCTGAGATAACTTAAGTTCACCCTTTATTGTTTAAGGTCACCATAGAAAAAAAAAGCTCTTAATTAAAAGTGATATTCAATATATGCCAATATAGATTGAAAGTATGGAAGAGTTTTTTGTTTTCGAGCTTTTCATGGTTTTTTTACAGCAAAATGAACTATCCATTTTCAAAAGCAGTTGTAATTGTGTTACAATTTTGATGAGTAATTAATTAAAAAGGCTTGTGCTCTAAATTCTGCTTCTATACTTGTACTCTACACACACACAGGTTTTCATTTCAGAAAGAATGATTGTTGTACTAGCCTTAGTTGCAGAGATATTGAGGCCTCAAAATTGAACAGTCGTCAACTTACTTTTTTGAGAAAAATGGAAAAAACTTGAGCAACAATCATGGTGCGCATGTTTTTCAATGCTCATAAAGGCGCTCATAAATTTATAGCAGAGCTTCTAACAAAAGTCCCGGCTAAATTTAAAGAAGCCTTGAAGTCAGTTCCCTATTTTTTTGCAGGTTCTGCATGTTAACAGCACCAAGAATCGGGACAGTTAGAATGACATTACAAAAAAATTACCACTTCCTGGTGTGTGAAAATTTGCAGAGAGATAGAAAAATACTTGCAGAAACCAAACATTTCAATTTTAAAAAATGAATTTTTTTGTCAATTTTTGGTACCAAGACCACCAGTCTGCCCCTTTAACAAGTATGTGATGCGTTAAGTGTGTGAACAAGTATGTGATGCCGCGGTGACGCGCCTTTCCTTCTCTAATGCAAAAGTGGTGACATGCCCTTTGATTTTACAATACCAGCTGTTCTGGCCCCTTCAGAAACTTTTCCAAAATGGCAGAGGGCAGCCGGTAAAACAGAAAAGGCAGATGAGCTTTGGTGGAGGTATGAAGAACATTTGTTGGAAGCACATAATAGCTTGTGTATTCATATGCTTTGTCACACTTGTCAATGCATCCTTTCACTGTCTTCTCCGTTCTTATCTTCTGCTGTTGTTGATGGTCCCTATCTTTTTTAACACAAAAGGGTTTTATGCCGGAGTCCACCAAGACTCCAGTGATGTATTTACCTCATAGGTATGATTTCGAAAAAGTATGAATGATCAGAAGACTAAGAAAAAAGTTCCATCAATGGGAGTCGAACCGATCACCTCCAGGTTCACAAGAACAGATGCCGGGCATGCTATCTACTGTGCCACGGTCACAAACTCTGTAGGCTCTTAAAAATGCCCTTTTATATCTACTGCTGCCCTCTCACAAAGTTCTTGGTAAAGTGCAGCGAGGCATCATGACCGCGGCATTTTGCATTAGTAGTTCCTTCAATGTGTCGCTTCTAAGCGTCCGCCCGTTCGACGCATTTTCAGTAAGCTTTGTCAATTCCATAACACACCGACAGGTGGCGACCTTATCATGAGCGTCAGCATTGCTCATTGCATAGATCCATACCAAACATAGCTCTACAATCTTTGGAACGTGCCTGCATCGCCTGGATGTGGCAGTGCATTACCTACGTATGCTCGCCCTCACGAGGAATTGTGGCTGGCCATACGGAAGACATGATGTACGTTGTGCTTCTCTCTGATCGGGCAGCGTAGTTTAATAACTCAAACATGCCGCGACTAGGCGACCTTTGCCCAAGCTTGGTGTCCAGTCAGCCGCGCTCTTCTGGCTGTCACATCATACTGTTTCTACTCTCACCTTTAAGTACTACAGCTACCACAAGCATCTATGACCACAAGGGTTTGTTTAATCATTAAATTACGGACATTGGTTGGCGGGATGTAGATGCCTCACTAAGCGTCAGCGTAGATGCATCCACATTAAGCGATGTTGTACTAGCTGTCTAACACCAATGGACATTGTGCAAGCTCTTTTATATCAATGTACATTAATCTGTTTTTGTAAAGACATATTTTACCTTTGTGTTCTACTGATTCCTATGATGGAGAAATCAACCATGCCTTTTTTTTCCAGACTCTGGACATTCTTGAAGACATATGCATGCAGAAAGGGTATCCATTCTTGAGGCTTGATGGGTCGACGTCATCGACACAGCGCTTGGAGCTTGTCGAGCGATTCAACTCTCCACACTCAAACTGCTGTACGTAGAGCACACCTCGAAGTGTCACCATGTCATGTTGTGTTTCGTATGCTTTTAATGCCTAAATGGCCAGGGAAGCAGCTGAGAATTTTAATGAAGACAAAATTCAAGGACGCTTGTGTGACGTGCTCTGGATGCGTGCTAAAAAAAATTTTTACGAAGGGACGTTCCGAAAACCCCCTGAAACGACAACTTTACTTAAAATCTTCTGCTATGGCATTTCGATTTTCAAAATGTGTTTGCTTTTGAGTTGAGGGTCTGCATATAAGCAAACGGTTCCCACAATCTCGTTTTTCTTGTTCTGCTAGAGGACGAAATGAACTCTGGCTCATGTGCTGCAGCTACAAGTTCACAGCTTCATGGCGAGGCCATATTATGCCCAGTTCGTGATCCATTCCTGCCGAATGTGTTATGTTTCGACCCTTGTTTGCAGTTGTGTTCCTGCTCAGCTGTAAGGCCGGCGGTGTTGGGCTGAACCTTGTGGGAGCCAGTCGTATAGTTTTGTACGACGTAGACTGGAACCCTGCGAATGACCTGCAAGCCATGGCACGTGTTTGGAGGGATGGCCAATCTCGACACGTTTCTATCTACAGACTTCTGACCACGGTGAGTCGCTGCCTGCATTGCCTTTGAAAACAGTGACTCTTGCTTGGTAAGCTTTTGAAGTCTTTCCTGCTGTGTGCAGCATCCTGACATAAAAGCAATTTTAGCATCACTTAGAGGAAGGCCACATCACCACTATGGTGTCATTTGCAAAGCTGGAAAAATTAAGTGAGACTTCTTGCGTAATTTGCTCCAAAAAGGGAAAATAGACAACCACTCATTCATGGCACGAAGCCCAAAGAAAATCCGTACAGATTCCTCACAAGGAAAAGCCTCTTAGTTGCCGAAAAATTTGCCCGAATCGGGGGATCGAACCTGGGATCGACGCCTTTCCAGGGCGGTCACTCCACGAAATGAGCTAATGAGGAAGCTCAAGAAAGCCAACAAGTGCTATATTGACACGAATAATCCAAAGGAGTTCTGCGGAAACCCGCAAGGTGGTGAAAGGGTTAAGAAAGGGAAAGTAGACAACCACCCATTCGTGGCATGCAACTGCAAGCGAATCCGTCCGGATTCATCGAAAAAGAAAAGCCTCTTAGTTGCCGAAAAATACGTCCCGGTCTGGGGATCGAATCTGGGGCCAGCGACTTTCCGGGCCGGTCACTCTGCTAATTGAGCTAATGAAGAAGCTAGCAATTGGCAGCACGATGGTGAATTTATCGACAACTCAAAGCTTTCATAGCTGTAGGTGACCATCTATATGCATTATTTGTGTCCAGGTGCCTTCCAGTTGTGAATGAATTCGCCCTCGCGCTGAGCTGAGCTAGCTTCCTCATTAGTTTAAGTCAAATCTCGTTACTACGAACACCGAATTAAAGATTTTTTTAGATTACGAATATTTGAAAATCCCCGCCAGATTGCCTATATATTTCAATGTAAAAATATTTCAGAACAACGAATTTCAGTACAATGTATATTTCAGAATAACGTGCATAATTTATTTGCTCGCCTATACGCAAGGAACATCAGTATTACGAATTTAGTTAAAAGTAGCAGCACCGCAACTCTCGCGTAGCGCAGTAGCCGCTGTTTTTTTCCATGCACGGAAGCTATCATCATCACCGTGTTGAGAGCCGACTGCTAGCGCCACCACACAGGTATGGTTTGATGTGTGGCAGCTTAGCAGGCCTAGCCTCGTTGCCTCGTCCTTCGTCGTGCGTCCTTCGTGCCACGCACGTGTGAAGTCTGCTGCGTTTTGTTGTCGTTCTTTTTTTCTTAGCTTTCTGCAAAGTGTTTGGAGACCCGACGATGAATGCACCAGGTGACAGCGCTAAGAAGAGGCGAAAGCAGTTTTCCCTGCAAGAAAAGGTGGATTTGTTGAAGGAACTTGACTCGGGCAAAAAGCAAATCGACCTCTGCAGGGAGCGTGGCATTGCCCCGTCGACTGTCGCGACCATTTGGAAAGACAGAGAAAGATTCTGAAGCTTCACCGAGAGTCACAACTTGCACCTACGAGGGAAACGGTTGCGCCTGGGAAATTTTCAAGATGTCGACCAAGCTGTGCTGACCTGGTTTAAAGATGCCCGGCTGCAAAACATCCCAGTGTCTGGCCCAATGGTTCAAGAAAAAGCCCGCGAGTTCGCCGACGCGCTTGAAGTAACTGGGTTTGATGCAAGTGGGGGTTGGCTTTTTCGTTTTCGCCAGAGAAACGGCATAACCTGGCAGGTAGTCTCAGGTGAAGAAAAGGCTGCGAACAAAGAGGGTGCAGATTCCTGGCGGAACGATCGTTTCCGAGAGGTGGCGGAGTCGTACTCCGAAGACGACATTTTCAACGCGGACGAGACCGCGTGCTTCTACCAGCTCTTGCCAGATTGGACGATGCACTTCAAAGGTCAGCCGTGTAAAGGAGGCAAGAAGTCGCATCTCCGCGTGACGGTCTTGCGCTGCTGCAATGCGTCGGGCACGAAGAAAATCAAGCCGCTTGTCATTGGAAAATACGCAAAGCCTCGCTGCATGAAGAACGTCGTATCCCTACCGTTCGACTATTGTACGAACAAGCGTGCCTGGATGACAAGAGAATTGTTTTCGCAGTGGCTCATCAAACTCGACGAACAAATGAGGAAAGAAAATAGAAAAATTCTTTTGATCGTCGACAACTGTTCAGCCCACATTGTGAATGTTCGCTTGACGCACGTTCGCCTGGAGTTTCTGCCACCGAACAACACGTCGTTGCTGCAACCACTAGATCAAGGCATCATAAAGAGTGTTAAGGCGGAATTTCGCAAGCGCCTTGTGCAGCGTTTTATTATAAATCTCCGCTTAAAGCAGCCGACATCAGTCAACGTTCGTCAAGCGGCGGAAATGCTGACGGGAGCTTGGTGGAACGTGAAGACGTCAACAATCCGTAACTGTTGGCGAAAAGCAGGCCTAATCAAGGCGCCTGCCCAAGTTGAAGACAACCTGGAAGAGGACCACAGCAACCCAGGAGACCTGTGGACTGAGGTTGAGGAACTGTTGCCCGACGTCTCTTCCTTCGACGACTACGTGGAGAGCGACAGCGCAGCACTAACGTCGGCGGACATGACAACCGAGGAGATTGTCAACAGCGTTCACGACGTCTCCAGTGACGACGACGACGACGACGACCCGAAGGAAGAGGACTCTGTATCACCGAACACTGAAGAGGATGAGACCATATCGCACTCGGATGTTTTAGTGCACATGAACAAAGTCCGCACCTACATTGGTCGGTGCAGTGATGTGCCCAATGAGGTGCTACGTAAGGTGGAAGGTGTTGAGGTGTACTTAATCAGCCGTTTGTGCTCTACGCGTCAGAAGAAAATCACAGATTTCTTCAAATAAAGAACGTTTGAAGTGTGTGTAATTTTTTTTTGTGTGTGTTTGCTTGTCGGCGCACACGGCAACTGCCAAGGTACGTCATGTTTGCTCCTAGGTTTGACCTCTTGCTTACAATCGAAGTTTTTCATTACAACGATATTTCAAAATAACGTACGAGTTGCGGCGGTCCCACTTAATTCGTTATATCGAGATTTGACTGGTTGGTAGAGCGACCGCCCCAGAAAGGCGGTCTCGGGTTCGATCCCCGGACCAGGGGGAACCTTTTGGCAACTAAGAGGCCTTTGTTTCTGAGGAATCCGTACGAATTTTCTTGTGGTTTCTTGCCACAAAAAGGTGGTTGTCTATTTTCCCTTTTTTAACACTTCCACCCCCTTGCAGGTCTGTGTAGAACTCATTTGCATAATTCACTCACTGTAGACTTCTCTATCAAAGCGCATAGTGCCGACAAAATAACCCTTGGTGCAGGATTTGAAATAGTTCCTGAACTACTATGTTGTTTCAAAAGGTACAGCTTTTCAACTGCACTTCAGGTAACAGCACTTGGAATTGCCATTATTCGTAGTCTTGTGTGAAGTGGAGTTATGCCATTTATTTACCTGGGATAACCGATCATGGCAATGATGTTCTATTAGTACTTGTTTTACATCAGGGGTGTAGCACTTTTTTTCTGAGGGGAGTGTGAGGGTGTAAAAGTGCCCAAACCCACCTGGCTATGCCAGTCATTACAATACAACTTGTCCTTGTAACTTGTAAATTGTTTCAGCTGAAGCATAAGTTTATTTATCAAACATTGTTTAATATGGTGTCTAATATATTGTGCATAATGATTCATTCTCTTAAACTAAAAAGTCTTTTTTTGGGTATAAGTAAAGTACAATTTCACAATCTTGAAAACACCACTCTTACTGTGACACAGTGTTTGGTCAGCGAAAAGACGCACAAAAAAAAAAAAAAACTGCGGGTGGAGACACCACCTTGCGATTCCCTCACCAAACACTGTGTCATCATAAATTTTTGAAGGTATCTATTTCTAGCCAATAAACATGAAGTACATTATAATATTATAAGTACATTATAAATGAAGTACCTGCGGGGGCCATACACCTAGCTTACGAAGTTTGAGAAAATTTAATCTAGCAAATGTCACGAAAATACGAAGCATACATTTTGAAATTCTCGCTGTCACAAGCGGAGATTTCGTCATGAAATTTGAAAATGAATCTTCAACCTTGATTTTCTGCTCTAACAGTAAACTTATGATTGTGAAACATATGGCATTAGAGTTCTCAGAGTGCAGTTGTCAACCTCAACCAAGTCATTGTTTCTCTTTAGTGTCTATTTGATAAAGTTCCCTGTCTGTCTGTCTGTCTGTCTGTCTGTCCGTCCGTCCGTCCATCCGTCTGTCTGTCTGTCTGTCTGTCTGTCTGTGTCTGCCTGTCTGTCTGTCTGTTGTGTCTGCCTGTCTGTCTGTCTGCCTGTCTGTCTGTCTCAATGTAAAGTATATAAAGAAGGCATCAGAGTCTTGCATCCTTTCAAGATGGCTGCTGTAATGTGTTCACTTTATGTTGTTGTGCCCATTGTTAGCATGCGTGAAAGTGTGCAGCCACTACTGATTTGTATATTCGAGGCTTGGACTTGACCTGTTTACTGAAATCCACTGCTGCTTCCCATTTTCTCTTTCAACAGGGCACCATCGAAGAAAAGATCTTCCAGCGGCAAGTGACGAAACAGGAACTCAGTGGAGCTGTTCTAGACAGTAAGAAGGATGGAAAGAGAGCCAAGTTTTCCCTGGAAGACCTCAAGGTGATAAGTTTGCTCATGTCTAAAGAAACAATCCATGAACTCGATGGGACACTAACACAGACTGTTGGGCATGTTGGCATACGTGCATTTTGAAGTAAAGCGCAAACCAGAACGGAAAAGAACAAAAAATACATGTGTCGTTCTGTATTTTTTTTGTTCCTTTGTGCTCTGATTTTCTTGCGCTTCACTTTAAAGGGACCCTGACACAAAGATTTTCAGTGGTCATTTTTCCCGTCAAACGAAAGATTAAGCTTTCAAGAGCCTAGAAAATATACTGGTAAGCATGGGTGCATCTGCAACATGTTTCGGAAAGCTAGCTTTGGTTCCTACTGTACCACGATGTCCCAAGACGTTATGCTCTTGTCACCTGGTTGCACAATGTGATGTTTCCACAGCCGCTCTGCTGCGTCGCACTGTTGGTGATGCGCAATCAACCGTTCTGAATGTGTTTGGGGATGTGGGACTTCTACTGATAGCACAGATCACCTTGTTGCATTTTTCTCACGTGACCTGCTTGCATAATCACTGCATTTGTTCTCTGTGCTGTTGCATGTCGGTGCCTTGTCACAGCTTCAGGTGACCATGTACCTGGCCTGCATTACCCAGACATGACGATGCAGGCTTATCTTCTATGTCTGGGATGCCTTTGGACCGGCCTGCACTGTCTTATTACATGCCAAAAAATGCGACTTGCAGGCAAAAATACTGCCGTGGTAGCTTTTAGGTGTTGCTGTGGTACTATTTAAGATTTTGAGGGAGTGAAAAATTGTTTTATTGATATTGGGAAATTCCCAATTATTGATTTGAGTGTTCTCATCACTCCTTTAGATCAAGTTTCAGCTGTATCTTGTTCTGCCTATATTTTTATAAGATTGCACTATGATATTCTTTGTCAAATAAGATTTTTTCTATACATACACTCATACCTTATTATAACGCAGTTGCATCTTATAAAAAATTAAGTTTGTTATATTTGAAAATTTGTAGTAAAGGTTATTTCTAGCTATTTATTGAAATATTTTTTTTCATTAATTTTGTTATAGTCAATATTTCGTTATGTCCGTGTTTGTTATATGGAGATTAGAGTGTAGTGCTGCATCGATTGATGCGGTAAGATGGGCTCCCTATCTAGAAGTGGCTTGTGATGTCATAGTAACCGTTTTATCAGCTCTTGCCTCTGCTGCTATATGTTTCTATAAATATTGTTGCAGGACCTGTTCACGCTCGATGAAGAGACCACTAGCTCGACTCACAGACTGCTGGGCTGTAGATGCGACAGCGTGGAGGACACAGACGGTGATTTCAGTGACAGTCATTCCCGAGCTGAGGTGGTAGCGGAGCCAAGTGGCGCGCCCAAACGCTCATCTCAACTAGGCAGTGCAACAACTCCCAGCATCATCGGACAGGTGCGCTCTCTACGCACACGGTCAGCCTAATTTTGGTACGAGTGGGTCAACTGCATAAGGAAAACACAAATTGGGAAGAAGTTCAGGGGAAGATAGAAGTTTGAAAAGAAATGGAAAGTGTCAGCAGTTGCGGTGTTACAAAAAAAAGTAATAAATTCAACAAGAGTGCTTGTCGATAATATCTGGGGTTTCACTTCCCAGAGCCATTATATGATAGAAGCTATAGGGATCTTGAAGAGGGGGCCTCCGGAAATTTGGACCATTAGGTGTTCTTTAACATGCACTGACATCGCACATTAAAGGGGTGTCAGGCCTCCAGCACCTCAGCTCCATGGAAATGCGACTGCCGTAGTGGGGATCAAACCTGCGACCTTCGGGTCAGCATCCAAGTACCGTGACCGCCCCACCACTGCATTGGCAGACCGCTTGTTGAAACGTTAGCTACTGCGAAATCCTGTGTTCGAGAATTATTCATCTCTACTGTACAGTGAGTGATTTATCCAACTCTGGCATAGCACAATTTAGGTAATTGCACATGAACCAGGAAATGTCATATTTTTGCATGTGCTTCCTGCATATTAAATTTGAATGTCAAGATTAAAATGTGTGTGACGCTCGTTTGTGAATTTTGCCTGGTTGCATATCTTTCCTGCAGTGAGAGTTTTTTTTTGATGGATTATCATGAACTTTCATGACATTGCATGTTGTGTTGCCATGAAGCTGAATCGCATTTCGGCACAGATCTGAATTCATGGTAACAAGACTGTTTCTAAAGCCCTGCTTTATGTAGTTCATTACATGAAGCTGTACTTAGAGAATTTTGATGCCTATGTTTTGGTGAAGTGATTTTTGTTGTAAAGTGATTTTGTTGGCTTAATATTTGTGTGTTTTCTGGGCTATTTTCGGCGATATTTCAGTGACGATTTTTTGTTTTTTAGTGAAATGATATTTGTGCTACATGTTTTTTTCTACTGCAGGGTGATACCATGCTCAGGGTGTGTGATGGAAATGCAACAAAAAGTTGTGTGTTTTCCTAAGTTTTTTGGGAGCAGATGCAACAAAAAGTTGTGTACAGTATAAGTTTTTTGGGAAACGTGTCTTTTGTTTTTAAATTTGATTCATAATACACAATTTTTTCTTCTTTTTTGTCTGAGGCATACTATTTACATATCTAATTTCAAAGCATGAAAATGGTGTTTTTCGATTGTCATAAAATTACTGTCATTTTGGCAAGACCAGGCTGCTCTCACTGCTCTGTAATTTAAAAGATGTACAATTTTTGAGAATTTCTTTATTGTGCACATCTACCGTTCTTCTCAAAGTGAATGAGCTGCGATAAAGTTTGACCATCCATCCACCACGCTCCTTGCAAAGTCTCATGCAAGGACATTACGCCTGCTTTTTGCTGTGACCTGTTACAGAAGCTTGGCATGAGCGACTTGTTGCGGTGGGAACACATTTCGGCACCGATAGGCAAGCATTTTTCGCAGGTAGGCGCGCTGGAAGCTGCTGATGGGTAGTCTCCATTTTCTTATTAGTCTTGGAAGTGTCATAGAATATCTGGAGTAAAAAAAATAAACACGGCATTAATAATTCATTCGCTCCTTTGTTTAAAAATATCACTCTGGGTTCTTTCAGGAGGCATAGAGCTAGTGGGGCTCTGGACAAATTACATATATAAAAGTGCGTATTAAGCATCAAGATACCTATGAAAGCATATTAAATAGAGCACTCAAAAGAAGTAAAACGTAAAATTTGCATAAACACTACCAACAAGCAGCCTGCTGATTGAGGCAGGAAATAGATGCATTGTATACTTTGCTCACTGTAATTAGTGCTCATACTTGTCGAACGTTTGACAAAATTTGTGAAGTTTCTAAAATGATTCAACAATGTTTCTTAAAGCATCATGCATGTGAACTGTTTTCTTGAGAATAAGAAGAAAATGTGACAAATTTCAAGTTGAAAGCTGACTGTGCATGTTGCTCACATTTTGTGTGTGCACTCACAAATTCTGAGTTTCTCAGAAAATCAGGATGTTCTGGTTAACTATGCTTCTTATTTTTCGGAATTTACAGGACCCTCACCTGGCTGCTGCTGAAGACCACATCACATTTGTTTTTCGCAACACTCTCTGTAAAGCGCAAAAAGAAAATGTTGGTGGACATTTATAGGCATTTTATTCACTATTGTTCTGTAAAATGTGTGTGTGAAGAAACACCACAACTTCTTCATGCTTTTCACCATATTTGCCACACGTTTTAGTTTTTATACGACCATGACCAAATATATTTATGTCTGTTTTAATGTACAGCAAAACTAATAAAGAAAATTGGTGTGTGCCTCGTGGTTTTCTATAAACTTTGCTCCACGTGCATGTCAGGTTCAACATAACTTTCGTCGATTTTGTATTTAAGGCTTTTGATGTCTTCATAAAAACTCGTATTCGGTAAATTTATATTTTCTCATGCCGGAACTTCACTTCTTTTTTTAATGTTTATTGTAGAATAATTTCCCGGTGCACTTTCACGTCAGCAAACCTATTGCACACCTGATAGCCAACTGCACTGTGGCTACCTTGACAAAAGGGATTCATGTACGAGTGGTGTGCAAACAGTCGTTTTTATGCCATAATAGCCACTCCACTTGAATAGCTACGAGAAGGTCTACCTCATTCTCAACTCCAGCGTCATAAATATGGGCTGACATTATGATTTAAGGCATGATATAATGATTAGCCATGTGCAATTACACTCAAACCGCATAACAAAGTTGCATCTTGCATAAAAATAACTTCGTTATATCCGTAAATTTGTTATAAAGGTATATTCCTAACACTATGTCAATTGCAAGTCTAGTTTTCATATGCTTCGTTTTAACCGCTCTTTCGTAACATCCAGGCTCGTTATATTGAGATTTGAGTGTAGTGAATTCTGGAACCAAATCGAATATAAACTGAATGGTGATGACACTGATTGAATGCAAATGCAAATAGAATACTGTCTGAATAGTTTTCAAATAGTAAGGAAACCATATTCAAAGCAGCTGTAGATTGCTAATGCAAAAATTTTTGAAATAGCCCAATAATTCTACAACAATGTATTATAAAAATATTCACAAGGTTTGACAAGGGAACATTACAAATACTTCTAAACGACAAAATACACCACAATTATTTAAACTGAGGCAAGGTTACCGCAGCAACTGGAGCCCTTGAAATATTTTGTAACTGCTGGCTGAAATACAGCAGTGACAAGAGTATTCAACCGGTACTTTGTTGACAGCGTTTAAATGAAACTGGTTTATAAATAGTAAGCAATTTGCATGAATTAATATTATCATGAATCACCTGGTCAACATGGTGGATTGATGACACTGTAGCTTTGGCGACACTGGAGTTTCAAGCAAAAACGTCTTCGTCCTATGGTTTAGGTGGCTTACACAGTTCTGTAAAGACATGGGCTGCATGCATCTGGGTAATTCGATGATGAAAATAAAGGACACCCTTTGTTGTTCCAATGTCTCATTCTTTCAAGCACTTGTCATCATTGCTGATTGAGAAAAATATTTGGTGTTTCTAATGTGTGCTATTTAATTTCAGTACTGAGTCAAATAGACCACTGTTTGATGCTTTATTCAAACATTTTTAATATTCGCACACTCCTAATAATAGAAGAAATGATGTGATGGACACTTTTGTGATGTCATGACATGGTGTGAATACGAATGCTACGTAGATTTTTGTCTTGATTTATATGACTAGAACATAAGCGAGATAACATAATTAGAATAACAGTAGATGAAAGGGGCTGCTGATCATGTATCATGTCTGTGTGGGCACAGATGAAGTGAGTTCAAGTAGTGTGTCACAGAACGAGCGCTAAAAATGGGCGCGCCCCCAAATTCTTGCGATAACGGGCGGGAGAAACGCTACGAGGTCAAAAGAAAAAAAAAGAAAACAAACATCCAAGGCTCCCCGGGCGCGCGCTCTCCCCGCGGAAGCGTGGCTTCGCCGACGAACCTCCTCACCCCAAAACGGCGGCCCAGCAAGCACTCGATTTTTTCAGAAGGAAATAGGCGTGGTCATACCAAGCTGAGTCATCTGCCGCGGAGGGCATTCCAACCGTCTCGCCCTCTTCCCAGCCTTCGCTGCGTATCGCGCCGACGAAATGACGAGAACTTTCTAGAATGCCGTGCGGGAGGTATTTAACCGAGCAGCCGAGATGAGAGATCAGGAGAAGACGGAATTTAGCGCCAGAGTGCGTAGGGATCCCGCCGTGTAGTCGGCGAAGGTTTTGTCCGTAGGGACGAAGCAGGAGATGAAGAGGATTTCCACCTGAGGGGTGAAGGCTCGAGCTACAGGCAAGAGCGTGTGTCTACCGCTATCGAGCGAGGACGCGTGGCAACAGCTGCGTGTGTGAAGCCGACGTGTTCGGGCGAAGAAGTTTGAAGCTTGGAGAGTGGCCTATTGAAGACGGGAGGTTTCCTGGAAGAGAAACTTCGAGGGCTGCGGAACGACAACAACCCTGGACTTTGAGTGAGTGGTTCTCGGAAGAGTATCATTCAGACTTGTGTTCCAAGAACTTTGGACTGAATAGGTTTTCTATCTCTTTAGTCTTTAAGTGTCTTGGTTGTTCAATGCATGCGACTGCATTGTAGTGCGTATTGTTGTCTGTGTCCCTTGTTCCAATTGTGGTTGATTGTACTGTGTAGTACGTTGTTTGTTGGGTGACGTATTGTATGTAACTATTGTGGGGTGTGCATTATTGTGTATTGTTTTCGATCTGCCATTTTTGAGAATATAATATTTGTTTTGTTTATCAACTCTCGGCTCTGACTTGTTCTTTGGGTCACAGCCGGCGTCCGCTGGCGCGCCGAAAAGGACCACTTCTAAATTGTCCACGCTTTCGTGGTGCGGTTCGGGGGGCCAATACTTCGGCCCTTGGAATTAGCCCGGCGATCGCCTCCCTAATTAACGGGACCGGTGTGACAATTAATCTGGCGTCCGCGACATGACTTTTTGGTGCACAGTGTGTCCAAAGTAGTGAGAAAGAGCCTCGAGTGTTGATAGTGCTATCGGAACGATTTTGTGTGTTGTCCAGTGTTCTCGTTAACAAGTGCAGTAGAGTGTTCCGATAGACTGATTTAGGCAGATACTTTTTGCACGCGGCAAGGTCTTATTTGCGAGATACAATGGATCTCGAAAAGTTAGTTGCTCTTGGTGAGAAGATGGGTCTTTCCGGCGCCGAACTACGGAAATGGGTAGGCCAGAAGGAGAAAGAGGCGGTGGAGAGGGAGAGAAAAAGCAGCTGAGTTGGAACGAGAGAGGTTGGCAGCTGAAAGGGCGAAAGAAGAAAGAGAGGCAAAGGAGCGACAGCTGAAAGAAGAAAGAGAGCAGCAGTTGAAGTTGGAGCTGGAGAGAGAAAAGCTGGCCGCTGAGAAGGCGAGAGAAGAAAGAGAGGCAAAGGAGCGACAGCTGAAAGAAGAAAGAGAGGAAAGGGAACGGCAGCACGAGATAGAACTCGAGCGGCTCCGTCTGCAACAGCGAAGTGAAACTCCCCTCGAAGCTAGAGTTGAAAGCAGCGAATGGGGAGATCACGGTTTCCGCTTGAACCCAAGCAAGCTGCTTGTAGCGTTTGATGAAAGGAAGGACGACTTTGACGCGTACCTTCACCGGTTTGAGACGATTGCTAGGAGCCAAAATTGGCCGGAACATCAATGGGCAACTGCTTTGAGTACTTGCTTGAGTGGTGAAGCGCTCAGTGTGTACGGCAGGCTGACGCCGACCGATGCAGCCAACTATGCAAAGGTGAAAGCTGCTTTGCTGAAGCGATTTAGATTTACTGTAGAAGGTTTCCGGGACAGATTTCGGACAGGAAAGCCAGCTGATGGTGAGACGGCTACACAGTACGCCGCCCGACTTAGCCATTATTTCGACAGATGGATTGAACTTTCAGGGACAGCGCAGGAGTACGATAAACTTAGAGAGCTCCTAGTTAGAGAACAATTTCTTACTAGTTGCCACCCAAGCCTGTCGCTGTACTTGAAAGAGAGGAAGGCTGAGTCACTTGAAGGAATGCTTGAATTGGCTGATCAATTCTTGGAAGCGCAAGGTGGAACTAATTTGGCCAAGGTCAAGAAGGATTGTCCCGATGATTCGAAGAAATTGGCTCCCGAAGAAAAGAAGCGTGCACCAGAGAGCATTCCGCGATGTTTTCTGTGCAACCGAGTGGGTCATCGCGCGAAAAACTGTCGAACGATCTTTACGAGCCCTACGGCAGTAAAATGTTTCAAGTGTGGTCAGACTGGGCACAAAGCAGACGCTTGTCGGAACGGAGTGAGTCAAACTCACCAGGTATCCTCTGTGCAAGTGGCACCGAAATCTGATAATAATGCCGTCACCGATGGATTCGTAGAGTTGAAGAATGGGGAGAAAATTCCTATTGTGGGTGCTGTAATGTCAAAACAGCCAACCGGTGTTATGAAGGGAATGCCAACGCTGCCTGGAAAGGTTGCAGGCAAGAAGATTACGGTTCTAAGAGACACCGGTAGCTCCACGGTTATCGTGCGGAGAAATTTGGTACGGGAAAGTGAGCTAACAGGTAAAACTAAACCAGTTTGCCTAATTGACCGTACGGTTCGGGTGCTTCCCGAAGCAGAGATTGAGGTGGAAACCCCGTACTTCAGCGGGAAGGTTACCGCTCTATGTATGACGACCCCCCTTTACGACCTTGTCATCGGAAACATCGCCGGGGCGCGAGGACCGAATGATCCGGAATGTTTGGGAGAAGACCCTAAGATAGAGCCCTCGCCAACCCAGCGAGCGCGTGATACAGTGGAGGAGCAGCCCATGACGGATCTCACTCGAGCCCAAGGTGAAGTCGCGGCGCAAGAGACAGCGAATGAGAAGACGATCGTGTTGAATGAGTTCACGCGCTGGGCAGCTGGACGTACGTCGGCACGACCCCAACCGACCGACAGTGTAAAGGAGACGGGGTCGGCCAGCCAGGCCAAATGTAGAGACATGAACAAGCTGGTAAATAAACAGACCGGACCCGTCGAACGTCATGACCCGTTAGCAGGGTCGGAAGTGACAACGATGGCTGAGACGCTGCCTCAGATACCGCCGTTGGAAAAGGCTCGCCGAAAAAAAACAAGGAAAAACAAGAAGAGATCGAGCGAGCACCGCAAGAAAGGACGCAAGCGCAGCTCGAAATACACAGGATAGGTGCGGAGGTGGAGTCGGAATGTGTCTGGCAGTGCTGAGTGCCATATGTTGTGTTAATGTTGTGTTATCCTGTGTCACAAGTTTCGAAGTGTTTGTGCTGTGACGTGATGT